GAAATTTGATTGGCTGTTTATAGTAGATCCAATCTGATTGGTGTGACATACATACATCTCTCACTCACTCATCCATTGACCCATCCATAACATACCCGAAGCGCCGACTAAGAGGTACTTTTTTACAAAAAAATAACTCAATAACTCAAAAAATTGAAGGTTTTACTTAAAATGGTTGCTATGGCAACCAGCCACAGCCTTTTGAGGTTTTAGTCTATAGCATCGACGTCAACAGTTCCTGCTATTTGAAGTATATATGAAATAATTCATATTTGAACTGCGGTTGTAGATGAAAGTGAAGAATGATCAATCAAGTGATCAAGTGAAGAATTTACTGGGATGATCATTCTTCACTTTCAGTTCCTGCTATTTTACAAAACAGGATTTGTTTTTAACTAAGCATAATTTTCTGTCTCACATAAGTTTCTGTTTCGTTCTATGCAATAAACTAAAGTTTTCACAGTTATCTCTTGTTTTCCGTGCTTTCTACAGGCTTTATTTGCAAATAACCTTATTTTGCATCAAACCCAGTGAACAAATTATTTAGTGTCACGTGACAGACGTTAAAATGTTATGAATTTTTTAGTTTATTGCATCACGACGCTATTGGTCTTTGATTACCCCAAATTTCAGGAATTTATCTTTAATACCTTCCAAAGTAGAATGTTGGCGTGAAGTCAGTTGGTGCAAAAGTAGACCTTTGAGAAAAATGCACTTAAAGTTTCTTACGTGATGGATTAAACATTTAACAAGCCAAACATTGCGGGGGGGGGGGTGTAGTAGATTGGATCTCGCGGGGGGGGGGGGTAATAATTCTTCTATTTTGTAAGAAGTTTCTGCAGTTGTAGGAAATGTTCCTTTTCATAAGGGAAGTGAATGAGCCTGTGATGGTAAATCAGGCAAAGCTTTTCTCAAGTAACTAGACGCTCTAAGAACGTTTACTCGGGCTTCGTGACGAGTACGCGTATTGGACACGATAAAAACAAATAAAAGAACCAGGATATTTCAACACAAGAGTTCCGCCTAGATATTTAATATTCATTAGTTGCTTCGTTGAGTATCCTCCTAATCCAATCGCAAGTTGTGAATTTGAGGAACCCATTTATAAGGGAAGATGCGACATTCTGTTCTGCTATTTATTTTGGTTTCGTACTCGTCTAGTTCATGTCACGCAACATGATTTTCTTTAGCAGTCAGACATAGTTCTCTAAAAGAATTGGTGCTTGCTAAGACTGCTAAGTATATTTGAACTACTAGTGAAATAAATTTGGCTAAACTATCGTCAATCCAGATTTTCCCTAGGACTTGGCAAGAAGATTTGTTCGTCAATAATCCCGCACAATTCCCCTCACAATCGAAGTTTTAATTTTCCCGCACAATTTGCCCCCAAAATCATACAACGATATCTTTTTCCTACACCCTGCTAGAAAGCCAACTAACTTGGAGGTAAGATATTGAGTTCAAGTTACCGAAAGTCTTACCTTCACAAATTTGGAGATCGGCATATTTTGCGCGGTGCAAGAAACAAGTTGTATGTTTTAATAAGCTTCGAGTCCAAAAGCGTTTTCGTATTTAGCTCGTTTTATTGCAATATGATTTTTTTACTGCAATGTTCTAAATAATAACAGCAGCAGCCACATACCGTCATTGATTGCCTATTTTTTTGTCAGTGTTTTCGTAGTTTGAACTGTGCTTACCTGGCTGGCTTTCAAGCGATATAATTCGTGGACCGACCCTTTCTGAAAACGATAGACATTTTTGTATGTGAGACGAACGTATAAGGTGCGATTCTTGCCAAAACTTCCCTCGCAAAACACCACATTCTGTGGAATGTTACCGAAGAGCAAGTGATGTCGCGTTCTCTTCCCCATGCCAGTTTCCACGGTCTACCCACGGAACGCCTAGGACCATGATCCCCCTTTTGGCGACCAACAACGGCTTGCATTTTCTGACTCAGGCTTTCCTACGGAAGCCCGAGTAATTCTACCAATCGAGTTGTGTATCACTTTACAGCTTTACGACAAATAACCGTTTATATATGTTACAACTAATCTATATTTTTTGACGTTCTTACTGTAAACAGCCGTTGCTACGTAAAAAAACTTATCCCACTGTGTACTTTCCTTAAATTTCACACTTACTTAGTGGTAAATTCGGCAAGATCGTTTCAAAATGTTTTTAACAATTGTTCAAGGGTGCTTTCCATTATGCCAAACCGACCGGTCACAGATCAGTCGGAATACCCGACGAAAATGGAACGACATTTCCGATAAAAGCGGGCAAACCAATAGGAATGGCTCTTACTATTTTTTATTCCTTTTCCGAATTCCCCAATTAGGGCTAAGAACTGGTTTGTCAAAAATGGAACGGCGAATTTCGGTCGGAATATTCCGACCGAAATAAGTGGACCACCTCCAGAAACCGAAACGGACCTTTCCATTTGAATTCTGATCGAAATTTCCGGAATCTTTAGCTAATGGAAAGCACCCCAAGGGTCTTACATGTAAACTTCTGACTGTGTTTTCTTTGTTTTACCGAAAAGAAAAAAAAGAATGTTTGCTTGGTCGTCTCGGGCAACTAAACGCCGACCACTAATTAGCACTAAAGTAATCTTTATCTTGCTATTCTTTTCAGGAAGGCGCGAACAAATCAAATTGACCATGGCTGGCTACCAAACCAATGAAATGGAAAGAAACCATTTCATCTTAATTGTATCTATAACAAAATTCTCGATCGTGATCAGTTCTCTGCGGGCCTATTTGTCACGCAATCGGTACAAGATCACCGGGGTGTACAATTACAGGTATCCAATTACGACTTGGATACGGTACCTGTAACTGGACACCTACCTAATTGTAGTCCAGTACATCTATGATCGGTCCAATAACCATTACTTATCAGAACGGAACACTAATACAAAACAATGAATTCGCTTAATTCCACGTGGAGCAAAAGCCTAAACGTGGATGTGACTACGATGATTCATGTCTTGTCGGCAAACTGAACCATTCGAACCATCCGTACCTGCAGCAGCGACTAGTTCCAATCTTTTGCTCCCTGGCAATTCCATAATATTCTTTAAATTAATTTATTCAATATGGCCGCGGTATCGCTAATGAGTCTAAAGGGTGTAGAGGTAATAAACGCTTTAGCGGAATGTTTCCAAGTAATCAGCACACGCAAAACAAGACCTGTTGTTTAGGGGAGGACGAATGACAAAACACTTCGTGACAAGTAGCTGGTCTGAGCATTTTATTTGCATTAAGAAGCTTGTATGGCAGTTCATCTCATGAAGACATCCGTATTTCGAAAACTTGAGTTATCCCTGAAAAACCAAAACACAACAAAATTATAATAATAACAATAATTTACATTTATATTGCGCAGGTTGCATGAATATATGATCACTTGCAAATTAATAAAGTGAGCTATAAAACAATATCTACTTATTAAAAACTAAGAAAGTACAATGTAAAATGAGCTAAAAATACAATAAAACTATATTGTTAAAGTAATTCTCATCAAAACTATTGAGTAACCAAGTAACCACTTAATGTTACTAAACTATTGACCATAAGGGTGTCACGAAGATTAAGACCCTCGAAAACTAATTTCCCGTTCACACCTACTAAACTAGTTTAACTAATCAGGTTTAGGTTTTTCAATTACGATTTCCGTTCATCTTGAGAAGACAAATTTCGAACCACCTTGCTAAGGTATTTTAATCCCACAGGTTTTTACCGTGTTTAGTTGTGAGGATTAAACGTTATGAACAAGTAAATTTTAACCTTGTTCAGTTAAACCACTTATAAACATGTTTGACTTGTTGGTGTGAACAGAGTATAAATAAGACCGAAGACCCCATCTTAATTTTCGTACTACGAAAATTTAGTCTTGGTGACACCCCCTTCCCCCTCATCACTCTTGTAGTGACATAATCTTGAACATCTCCACTTTGTACAGTGACATGTTAGGTAAGCATGATTCATGGTACTTTTGAGATACAACCAGTGTTCGTTTAGATTGCAGATGCACCAATGTGCTTGATATTACATTAAAGTGTGCTAGAAAATGGTGTTAGCAATAAACTGCATTAATAGAGCTGAAGAGGAGAAAAGTGGGAGTATTATGTCTACTTAATAAAACTAAATGTATCCAAGTTATCGTGGACGCCACGGCTTTTCTTACATCTCAAAGTACCCCAACGCACCTAGAACAAAATCTTTGTTACCCCAGGTAGTAACTAAATTCATATTTGAATGAGATCGTGTGTTAATACTGAACTTGGCCTTGGGTGTATTTTCATGCTTGCCTCGGCACTTATCAATAGCACGAATGATTGCCAGATGCCATGTGACACCAGTGACGTAAACTCGGTATTGAACAATTGAAACAAGCCCACGGTTTGGACTAGTTTACTGTAGTAACTATAATTCCTTACTTTAAGCTGCTCTGATGTGCCTTGTACTCCATGATTGTATTTTGTGGTAAGTTCAAAACCCTCTTGAGTGTGTCCCTGAAAAGCATAAGGGAATACCGGTGTTTAGTCACACTACATGGAGGAAACAAAAATTATTGTCGTGCAGAAAGCAGAGGTTTGATGTAAAGTAGAATCATTGCAGAATTGCGAAGTTTGACGTTATTAACCAAAGGACTTTGTCCGTGAAGAACGTTTCAACTTTACCTTATAAGCTGATTGCACTTAAAAAGATGGAGTATTAAAAATTTCTCAAACTTCATCCAGTTGGTAATCAAGTTATGTTTATCAGAAAATGCAATAAAAAAATAGGGGTCCCTGTGCTCGTTTTTTCACAACATGGATGGCCTTTATAGCAACTTTGCGACCGACGAGGTTGTCATTACTTAACCTTAGTTAGCAGAAAGGGCCACTAGAAATTCTAAGAAAAGCACTTACTGGATTTAATTATTAGAGAAGTTAACAAAATAGACCCTGAACTTACATTTTAAACCATGCAAATGAAAATAAGAAAGATCATATATTTGAACTGCGGAGAAAGATATGAAGACGTGATTGATAATATGTACTTATTGACTGAGCAAGGCCGGACGGGAAAATATTTGTCTCTCGGTCAGGACGTACGGACCGAGCGCAGAAAATTTTGAAAATTCTGTTTGAACCTAAATAGGATGCGATGACATAACATCAGACGGCCGCGCGCGGAACAACCACAGAAAAGATTCTACAATAAAAACTTGTCATTTATTTCTTCGCGTCGAACAAGAAACGCACAATTCATCGAAAAACACGACTCATTTTCTCATATTTGTTTTTCAATGTCAATTCATACTAAAAACCCAACAGAAAGTTGACATAAAGCTGTCAAAAATATGTCACAACCATCAAAAACTTAGCGATTGACAAAAGTTCGCTTCGCGCTTCACTGAAATTGTTCACAAATCTTCTTCTTCTGAAGACTCAAGAAAATGTCGGCGTCGTTTCAAGCTATTTGTCCACCTCTTGGATTCTCTTGAACAAGGGAGAACCAGCATCTGAATATTAATGACACCGATGTTGGCTCCCGCAAACAGTGTCTGGGTTTGCTGACTTTGCTGGCTTTGCTGTATAGTGGAAATTACACTATAAACACAAGCGAGTTTTATTATCTGGATGAACTGTATGGTAATGAACTTGTGTTCGTACTCAGTTTTGTCTCTTCAAACAACACTGATGTAGAAACTGCAGAGCAATTTATCCTACTGTACGCAAGGTATGTTTGTGATTTCTCTGGTTTAACCAACTTCTCCCAGAAACTCTGGAAACTCGAAGAACTTATATCGTACTTTTTTTTCTTCGCGTTGCGGTTTTCTTGCTTTTGACCCACGATGAATTCTTTGATGCTTTCCACTGAAAGAAGTTTCGCCTCAAGAATGTTTGCATATTCCAAAGGTTAATTATCGGACAGTTCATCCGGAAAAGTTGTTTTCTTGACCGCCTGCTTGCTTGTTGGCTTCTGAGAAAGTTGTGAACTTTTTCATTTGTGAGGAGTGTTGACTTTCTTTCTGTGCTTTCGGAGTGAGTTGGCGACAGAAGTAGTTCTGCATCGCACAGTTCGCCTGGATAGTAAACTTCGCTTTCAGAATGTTCACTTTCATCACTCGTTTTGAAGAGAACAAAAGTTTGCAGCAAAAAACTGTTTTTGTCATTAACTCGCATCGATTTTGCTTTACGCGTTTCTAGTAGGACCGTACGCATTTCTAGTAGAGCCGTACGTCTTTTTCCGGCCCTATGACTTCGACGCGTACGGCCCTCATACGGGACCTTTTTCTTATGGTTTTCCATGGAAATTGCGCGCGGGGCCGTACGGGTCATATGATAATTGCAGTTATGCACACAACTTAAGAAGTTGTGAAATTAAAGCCTGAAAAAAATTCAGGCCTGAACGGGATTCGAACCCTTTCATAAAACACAGGCACGCAAGGCGTGCAAGAGTTATTTTTTTGTGTGAAGTGTCGGAGATGCCATCTTATTTTCTAACAGGCAATTTGATTCCTTCTTTGATGCAACCCGCACTGTGAGTGGTGTGACACGCGCACATGCATAACTCCCTCACTCACCGATCACATAACCCTTCCAACCCCCAAGAGGANTGTAGCTCAGTTTTTCTTGAAGCTGGTCACTCTGGCAAGATGGGGAAGATGAAAAAGGATACAAACACTAGAGAGGCTGGACCAAGAAAACAAATAAAAGAAAGCGCAACGGAGCAACTGTGCATGGTCAACTGTGCATGGATAATATTTCAATGGGTCTCAATGAGTCCAACGATTCGTCAATATCGGATTCATCGGAGTCTCTGTCAACATCCCTGTTATTGCTGTCAAGTTCCCAAATTTTTACATAACCTTTCTTTTCTCTTCTCTCAATTTTTTTGCCCGCCTTATACGATAGCTATAGCTTCATCCATGTGGTGAACTTTCACATCTTCACTCATTGATGTATTTTCACTTGTTGTTCGCTGCTTTCGCTTTTTCAAACGGGTCCATGTTTTTAACGTGGTCTACCTTTACTTGTAACTTAATAGAATTACACCTATTACCAAAACTGCTTGGTAGTCAGAACAACAAAGCTGATCAACTGAAGAGTAGTCAATTCGTGACATCCGTACGGGTAATTCCTGCGAAAATCGTCTCGGTTGATTGCATACGTGCCATAGGGCTGTCAATCAAGATGTAAACTTTTACTTCCGGCGAAAACGTAAAGCCGCCATTTCTCCACCAATATTTAGTCTTTTTCAAAATTTTTTTTCAGGAATTAGAGATTATTCTTTGACCACTACTTTGACCCAAAAATCCAGATTTGAAGAAAACTGCCGACCTGAAGGTATACTGTAACCTTGAAAGAGGAATGCCATCTGCTAAGTTTGCTACATGTATTAATATCACTTGCCTTTTGGAGTGATTTTATAACCAAAACTAACACAACTTGTGATTTTTAATACATTCAATTAATTCTCCAGGAATCTACTCATAGGTTGAAACCTTGTACATTGGGGACAACTCATGATTAATAATACTAACCATTGTTTTTTAATCAAATTGATTAGAATCTTGATTGAAATGACATGGCATGCACGGTATTGGTAGACCACTACCTCAATAGGCTAGATTATCATTTTGCTAAACGATGAAGTCACCAAAGCATGGCATTTGCCACTAGTTGTTTGAACCGATACAAGTTTTACTATTCATATAATTACGCTAATCTCTTACTGTTGCTTCATTAGCACAAGCAAATAAGGCACTGAACAGGCCGGATTTGAGTTTGTTTTGTCATGACACCGCTTCAATACAAGGTCAGCTGATTTTTTCATCCAGTCTATTTCTCTACTTCTTTCAAAAATCAAAACATCTATTTAAAAACAACCATGCTGTCAAAGCTGCTAAAAGTAACCATTAAGTTTGCATTGCATTCAAATCCACCTTCAAAGGATTTGCTCCAAAAGATGCTGCTTTGAAAACTGAGTTCTTTGCACATGTTATTTCTCCAAAACAAAGCACAAATCAAGGAAAACAATTATGAAATGATGCTTTTCATGTCAAAACAAGTCAGTCTGCCAAGAATGAGCTTGATCCTGCAAAAAATGAAAATTGGCTTTAAAAGCGATATACGCCCTTTTTGCATGAAATCCTTCAATTAACTTTGTTTTGCTAAAAGAACTCACAGGTGTTGGTACCACATATGAAAGAAACTTGTTTTCATGTTTTTAACATGCTACTACCAGTAAAAAGCATTATCCTGTAAAAGGTAAGGTAAAGTCTGCATATGAGCCAAGTAACTCATCAGGCTGGAGCTTATCCTGGTTTCAGTAGCATGAAGTGACTAGGAGTATTTCTACTCCCCCCTGGATGGGATGCTAGTCCATTGCAGGGTTACCCCCCAGCATTAAATTCACCGGTACCCATTTATACACCTGGGTGGATAGAGGCACTGTGAGAGTAAAGTGTCTTACGCAAGAACACAACATAATGCCAGGGCTCGCTCTGGAGTCAAGCTCACCAACCATAAGGTCCACCGTTACCCTGTATACAAAAGAGCAAACTTACAGATGCAAACTTTCCAACCAGCTTAATATTGTCAGCATAATTGGTGGATGACTGAAGTTTTCCTGGTGCTCTCCGTGAAAACCAAAAGGCATATGGGCATTGCAGAGGATGCTCTCCTTCACCAACTGTCACAACTTTGTTCTCAAGCTATGAAACATGTAAAACCATCACTTAAAAGAAAAACCTCAAGGCTTTATCCATCAGGATCACAACTTCCTATTTTCAAGTAATTAATAAGTCAAATAAATATTCAAGTAATGTGTCAAACATCACTAAGGGCGCAGTTTTGACTTTCTAGGTCTTTGGAAAATTATGAACCACTGCAAGTGAATATATGAAAGATCATAATAATAAGAACTGCAGGGCCAGAGAGATGTGAAGACAAGAATATCTGCTGAAACAAACAAGCTAAAGGAGGACAAAACAGAACTTACTTCTTATTGAATTCAGGTTTACAATTTGGACAAAACGACCGTGTGTTGTTGAGCTATTAGAAGTGCACAAGAGAAAGGGACTTTTGCATGTGAAAAAGAACAACAGATTACTGTAATGCATAACCCTCGAGGAACTTTGAAGCTCAATGAAGTTCAACTCATAGGCAAAACAACATGACCTTCAAAACTCATAAACCCAAAACACATGTACAGTGTAAGAGGCAGCCATGCCATTGACAGATAATAAGATGTTACCCATGGAAACAGGGGAACAAAAAATTGGAGAAAACTTAAAGACCACATAACTCGGCAAAAAGAGGCAGGAAACTTGAGTTAATGTGTCTACATGTACACCGGAAAGCAAGGGTTGAATGTAAGCATAACTCCAGGTAGGATAGTTTAGTGGACATTTTTGCTGTGAAAACATAAAAATCAACTTGGAATTAGCACTGAACAAGTTCTTAATTATTAGGAGTATAATCTGGCAATATATAGAAATGTATGTGCAAAGTTAAGCCGCACAGCTAAAGTAAAGTACAACAGTCCGAATCAATTGATTTCTGAAGAAAATGGACCATATCCAGTTGTATCTGCCCCTAAAGTATTCTTGCAAAATCATGATCAACAACAGCTACTAATTAAAGTTAACTTGCCAGTGAAAACTTACAGGAGTGATAATTTTCCTCCATTATTTTATCAATTCATCTCAATTGTAAATTAAAGTAAGTGAATTTTGCATTTGAAGGGTCATCAGATATTAAACTGATGTCAGAGAAGTGTATCTAACATTGATGAATCATAATCTACAAACTAATGAAAATAAATTGGCAAAACATACCTCAGTCTGAAATTTACTTCGTCTCTCTTCTTCCTCTGAAATTCCATCACCATTGACCCCTTCATCGCTTCTTTCCTTTGAAATAAAACAATAGGTGCTCTTGGTTTTGTCATATAATAACCATGAATTAATCAAAATAATCATAATAATAATGACTTTTTCTTATGTGTTTGTGATCATAGTCAAGGGTGGCTGTTTACAACAATGAGATAAGCTAAGGTATGGGTTGCGAGTTTGCAAAATGCGATTTTGCCCATCATGCAAACTACCACTGCTGAAAAAAAATAATACATTTACGTTCAGCTGAAAAAAAGCATGTTAAATGGAGAAAAAATACCGTGCATTAGCACACATCCCAAGAAAGATATTTCCTAGTGTGTGAAAGGGTCAAAAAAAAAAAATAATGACCATACCAAATCACCCACACTCCCATCAAAAGTCAAATGTCTATCTCTTAAGAGATTTCTATCCCTTTTATGATATAGTCGGAGGTTTTGTATAGATGGTCTTCAATGAAGACCAACAAAATACTTCTATAAGCAAAAACTGGGAATATGACAAATCTAATTTGCTGTGGTCAGTTTTGATATTATATTATAACTATATTATATAGACCTTCCTTTAGCCTGACTCCATCAATACCTAATCTCTTAAGATTGCTTGACTGGATTTTTCAATAGTGACACCTTCCACCTTTAAATATAAATCAATACGCACTAAAACATAATACAGTAGATTGATATCCACACTCTTGCTAGGGATAGACCAAAGTTTTGGGTGCCGTGTACATGTATTTTATTGAAATTGGAGTTACCAGCAATGCAATGACGTCATTGTTGTTTTTCCTCATGTTCAATTTTCTTGAAATCTAGAGGTTTTCTTTCTAAACTGTCTACTGTACTTGTAGTTTAGATGGTATGCCTGATGTGTAGTGAGTTTAAACAAATTCTATGAGAGCAATTTCGAGAAATCTTTGGCTGAAGTTTTCGACTGTTAACATGAAACAAATCTAATCGAGTTGCTCTAGTATATGTTCGCCCGGCTTACAGGAAGCGTATTTGGAGCACGTTATTTTTATACACATGAACCACATTTCCTGAAAAGTGGAACAAAATCGCTTCATTTGATTTCGAAAAATATGAACTTGAATGAGGTAGCTATTTTGCTTTTTTGTCAAAAATTGGCTATGTTTTTACACTGAGGCGAATATTAAAAAAGTGGTCATTAAATTTCTTTTAAACTCCACCCTCAATGAGATTAATTCATGTTCAACGTAATGCCGGAGTTTCAAATTAATTGAAACATTTCAAGGCTGCTATTTTTCAGCCTCGACCCAGGAAAATATTGCACTGATTTTCACTCATGTTGTTTGTTGTCTTCATTATAATGTTCTTTAGTCTCGAATCACCATGTTATTGTACATTTCTGTATATCATGAATTCATAAAACGTGCGATTGCTTTCTGGCAATTTTCAAAAAGCATGCTAAAAAATATATGTCCCACTTTCACTCATCTAATGTTCATGCAGCCATGCTGAGGAGAAGCAGTGAGCGCAAGCGGAAAATCACTATGCTGGATGTCTTGTTTGTGTTTAACATAAACAGAAACAGAAACAAGACGTATATTTTATTGTTATTGTAGTGCTAGCTCGGGATATTTTAGCATGCTTCAGAAAAGCGCTGGAAAGCAATGTACAGAAATGTACAATAATAGCAATATGAATTAATCTCATTGAGGAAATGTACAATAATAGTAATATGAATTTAAGAAATGAACAATAAATGTACAATAATAGCAATATGAATTAGTCTTGTTGTGGGCCAATTCTAAAAAAAAATTCATTGGGTGTTTTCTAATTCCCGCCTGGTTTAACAATTTTAGGGGCAATTTTTGATAGAAAGCAAAAAAAAACACCCCACACCAGTTGATATTCATGCGAATGTTTCTGAAAGTCAAATGGAGCGATTTCTCTGAGATTTTCACGCAAGGTAATTAGATGTTATAAGATTCATTTAAGACCAGAATACCATTTACATGAAGTCAACTCTTGCAGACATAGTTTACAATAACATTTAAAACAGCTTTACTTTTGTTGTATTTTGACACCTTGAAACCTCACTCGTAATTTTCTCGAAAATCCTGTCATAGATTCTTTTTAAATTTCATCATCGTTAAGACAACTATGTCAAGTCCAAGATCCCGACGTCGTACTCCCAAAATTATCCCTGATGTCAAGTTATTCTGTCTTATGTAAAATGGGGCATGGCATCATTTCTTTGCTATGGTACCTCAGATCCTGGTGAAATGTACCCCATTTGAGACTTTCATCTTTCTCTAGCACACCAGTAACATTCGATTTTCTGTTGGAATGATAATGGTGGTGCTCTAGTCACTCAAAGTTGAACGGTATCATTGCTCAAAAATCTGATCATGCCACCTTAAATATTGTTCCTCCTTTAATAGCAATAGCCCAGTTTAATCCAATCATATCACATACTGTACATGATGCAAAAGTTTATACTTAAGGCTACATAAATCTTTTCTAAAAGTGATAACAAAACTTTTCTTGAAGGCACAGATTGGCAAGTTCATGTCCCCACAGAAATCGATTTACACTTTCAAATAACCTAACATGAGCGTGACAAAGAGGCGCATGCTAACTACTGGCACGTGCATACATTTGTATTTGCATTACATCACCAGTATTGTCAGTTAATGGTCACATGCTAATGTTGCCTGATGAGCGTGGTCAGTCTTGGCGATACGAAACAGAGCTGTGGCAATAAAGCAATTGGTAACATCTGAAGCCTGGATCTGAATTAATCAACAAAATTATAGTTACCGCTCCTGTTAAGTCAAGCACTCTCAAAAAATTGTTCTACCTAAGTATCCAGAATTAACATCGCATACATTTTATTGAAGCTCCCTTTACAGGGCTTTTCAACCAAAATATTCTACAGTAAATATTAACATAGGCATGCAAGGCGTGCAAGAGTTATTTTTTTGTGTGAAGTGTTGGAGATAGAAGTATTCATGGTACAGTAATGATTTGGTTAATTTGACAAGTTTTTTGGTTGCAATGTTACATCAGTCATAGTAAGATAGCTAAATAGTAAGCCATAAAATGTTTGACTGANCCGAATATGACTAGTTTTGTTTTATCTGGGTTAAGTAAAAGCTGATTATTAAAGCACCAATTCCGAATACTTAGCAAGTCCTTATTCATCTTTGCTATTGCTTCGTGCTGATCATGGAGTTGAAATGACAGGAGTAGTTTGGTATCGTCAACGTAACACTGCGACGAACAATTTTCTGGAACAGAAGGGAGGTCATTGACATAGATGTTAAAGAGTAATGGACCAAGGATGCTCCCTTGTGGAACGCCAGAGCTAACAGGTAGTTTGGTCAACAAAGTTACATTTATTCGTACAGCTTGGTATCGCGAGGTTAAGTAACTGCCCAACCATTCTGTCGCATATCTGGATGCACCAATGTCCTGTAACTTACCGAGAGGTATTCAATGGTCAATACTGTCAAAAGCTTTACTTAAATCAAGAAGGACAACTGCAGTCAGTTTCTTTTTGTCAATGGCATTTAGGATTTCGTCGGTTGTTTGAATGACAGATGTTTCCATTGAATGCCACTGTTTATTTTCGCTTTGTTTGGATGATAAACGGCCTCTCAAGAGCAGATATGACGTAAACTGATCGTGAGCGACACGCTCACAGACTTTAGAAAGGACAGGGAGTAGCGACATTGGTCTATTATTGTTTGGAATGTCGTGATCTCCAACCTTGGGTATCGGGGTCACTTCAGCTGTTTTCCAGGCCAAAGGGAACGTGTCAAACTTTGGAATAATTCCTTTGAGAGGCGGCCTTCTTGGGTATGCACAAGTGGATCGCTCTCCAGAGACAATTAGAGTTGTTTTTGTTGTTTACAACCTGCTCTGCAATGAATATTTTCTCAGCCATCCTTATTTCATGTTTGACCTCACGACAGAGGTTCTTGTATACAGACCAAGCATGTGGGTTTTTGTTTTTTTGGGCTACCTTCTTCCATTGGTCCCTAGATCTCATAAGGTCCCGAACTTCGGGTGTCACAGAGGGGTTAGGACGTCTACAAATTTTGACTGTTTTGATGGGAGCATGTACGTCCAGTACATTGTTGAATAACAGGTTAAACGCGTTCAGTTTATCTTCAGGGTCATCGAAAACGTCCAGAACGGACCAGGGTACTTGCGAAACGTCAGCAAGAAATTGATCGGGCCGGTAATGTTTGAAGCTCCTTGTTGTAACATAAGTTGGCTTTTGACATTGATTTTTCAAGTGAAATGTAGCGCAAAACAATATCATGATCGCTCATTGAGCACGGTTTAACGATAGTTTCCCGGACTTGTTGCGCATTTGAGGACAAAATAACATCTATAAGTGTCTCTGTGGAAGCAGTCACTCGAGTTGGTGTTTTAACCATCTGACAGTCAGAGAGTCAGGATTTAAGAGGTTACAGTTTAAATCTCCTATAATGTGTATTGGTTTGTTGTGTAGAGAAGCAGCAATGAAGCTAGGAGCTATATTAGTCTCCTAAAGGAGACTACTATGGGAGTTGCTCGAGCTTCATTAGACCCCTAAAAGATACCACTTAAAACGGAATAGGTTCGATTACTAGCCAGTGTTCAAGAAAGTATCCCTCACGCACTTGTAGACCCGACTGAGAGCGTTTCTTTTAATTATTATTTCTTCCAGTGCACCCTAAAGGTTACTTTGAGAGCTTAAAATGGTGATGTTTCGTTGTCAACACCCTAAGTGAGACAAGAATCCTTGATTTGTACCCGAGACAACAAGCATCCCTGACCTTTTCATATAGGAGTTGCCCCACCCTCACCCCCCAGGGTTCGAACATCTGCCGTTTTAAGGCCATTTTACCGTCACTTGCATCATGTCAAGTTAGGTATTCTTTGAATTTCTGACGCAAGTACTCAATATCTTACTGCAGAAATGCTCTACATTGAATAAATTTTTGCATGTACGTTTTTATAAATAGAAGCTACCTGTAATTATATAAATAGCTCATTTCC